TTGCCTGTGGACGTAGCCAACTTGGGTGAACCACGTAAATTCTTGTATGTCATTTCTCATTTTAACTTATCCCTTACCTTTTGTCTTGTCGGGTTTGCATGCCAGTATCCTAACAAAATCGAGGAACATGTCAAATACTCCTTCAATCTTCTAAAAGCCTCGTCACACTCATCATCCCACCTGAAGCTTATTTAGTTTTATTATAATATAATTTCTGAATGCTTGATATGTTCAGATAAAAATGTTATTCTTGGATAAGGTGGATAAGTCTTTTTGTATTTGTAGGACTCGGATATGTAAAGATCTAATTCGGCTATTTATTTTGTTGGGCTTAGAGCCTCAAACGACCGTGTCTGAGCTTTATTCTTTCACTTTATGGGTCCTGGCCAGCTCCTGCTATCATTTTGGGGTGGGGGGGCGGCGGGGGTGAACACAAACAGTCACGGGACCAGGAGGAATACGCGAAAACTATAAATAGCGTAGCTGACAATGTCTGCCATTGTTCTGGGAACTCGATTTCCAGTTGTTGCCATTGTTCTGAGAACTCGATTTCCAGTTGTTTCTGTGCAATCAGGGATGAGCCGAAGAAGAGATGATTGATCATCCATCAGTTGTTGTCAAGATATCAATGGAAAAGAAGAAGAAGAAGCTGCCAGTTTCTATTAAGTGTTTTTGTTTTAATCCAATCAGAAAAATCGAATTCAACAACAAGATCATTAAGAGATGAAAGATCACATACATATTATTCTTTTGCCGGAGCAATGTAAGGTGAAATACCTGAGCTTTTTTATGACGATAAACTGACCTTTTGGAGAAGTTTTACACAAGCCTGGCTAAATTTGACAAGCATTAGGTCGTCGTCTTCTTCCCTTTAACATTACTTGTGTTTTAGGACAACTAGATAAATTCGATCTGTACATGCTATTTCCTTGGTTCCCCTGATGCTCTCAGTTACTGTCTAATTTTACACTGGTAAGTAAGCTGTGTGGGCTCTGTACGTGGAACAGTGCTCCCTGATTGTCTTTCTTTTACCAGGCATCGCCTTCTTTTACCCTATTCCATTCCAAACACATGATGAGCGTGCTGTCGAGGCTACTGTGTGTAACTAGGAGGACGGTCTCATTCTCCTTTGGCCTTACAATTTCTTGAAGTTTAAGGATTCAAATAATAGCTTATTATTTGCTTCATTTGCCTCGAGCTTTCTCTATTGTTTATTGACATTGAAATCAAGATTTAAAGCTTAGAAGTAGACAAGGATGACTCTTTGTCAACCATATAAAATGTTTGTGATGAGGAAGAAAGAATTCGTAGTAATAATAAAAAAAATTAAAAAAAAGAAAAAACACAATTGGGTCACTGTTCTTGACAAGACCAAACCTTTTTGTTCTTTGCTCATTCCTCTCTTCTTTTTGCCTCTCTTTCACCCCTATCCTCTCCATCGCCACCCACTGACCCAGGCATCTCCTTCGGCTCAGGATCTTTCCCTCCTTCCCACACAAACCACGGTTCAAGATTCAACGTGGCCATGAAATCAAGCTCGGGCTCTCAGACAGATGGTTGGCTCAAACAGAAAGGTGTGAAACTCCTTCAATCTCTCTCTTCTAGTGTATGACTTTATTTTGTAAATTAGGTTTATGGTTATGGAAGAGGTGTGGTTCTGTTGATTGATGAGGAATTCCTTTTGACTTAAAGAAGTTGGGTTTGGGATCAAATACTGATAACATTCTAAAATTTCTAAAGTGGATATCAAGATTCAGGCGTCCCCCTCACTGGAACAAGGATACTAGTGAATGGATTAGCAAAGGGATTGAGACTAAACACAACTGTTCCTTACAGAACCTTGTTCCAGGGAAAACAGGTCAGTTAATCCTCATCATGAGCGCATAATTTCAGATTAATGTTTTTAAGAAAGATGCAAGGACTAATCCACGGGATCATACCTTTATACATATTTTTCGCAGGTTGCTGGGTGTGCACAAGTACATGATGATGTATTATCTTTTGCAACCATTAGAGGAGCATCACATGGAGCTCCATTTTCACAGCCAAAGAGGTCTATTGTGTTGTTTAATGCATTCCTGGGAGGAAAGCAACTACCACAAGCCCTATAGTTTACTGAGCAAGTTCATAAATAAATTGATTTCATATCAATTTGTCAACTGTCAAAACACTAATTCATTAGTACCAGTAGAACCATTGATGATGGCATAATTATTGATGTGTTGATTTTCACCTGGCATAACCATTCCTGCTTTCAGTCAAGTTTTTCACTTCCCAATTTGTGTTGCAATCAATATCCTTGCCAAATTAAAAAATCCAAAAATCTGCATTTTAGTACCATTAGAACCATTGATGAGGGCATAATTATCCTGAAAAGGGTCTAGGTCATCGGGTTACCAGTAGAACTAATTGTTTTATGTGTAGGCATCAATCTTGACGTCCTAACAACTATTATCGGAGCACGAGTTTGCCAACAAGTCTTAACCCAATAGTCCACGAGAGAAACGGGTTGTCTCTGCTTCCGATCTAGGGCCTGTTATGTGAGGGGAGATTGTTGGAGTTATCCCACCTCGGTTGTGTAGGGGTCGAGTTTTGATGAAGCTCCGCAAGCTAAAGAATTAATCACGTGGGAGTCAGCCATTTGTCTCCAAGTTGGAGATTGTTGTGAATGGAAACAAATGAACAAGATGGCTACTGCAAAGTTTTTGGCTGCCAAGTTCAAGATGGTTGCAGAGTAGGTGACTAGAAATGTTTAAAATGAAGTGTCAAAGATGGTTGCAATCACCATGGGTGATGTAAAGTTGGTGGCTATCATTGTTGACTGAAAATGGGGAGGCTTGTTCCTCCATTCTTAGCTATAAATAGAGGGCTTGTGAGGGCAAAAATTAGCAGCGGCAGTAGAAATAGCAAGCCTAGTAGCAGCAGAGAAAAAGAGAGATGTGAGGCAAAATTACACTAGCGTTGGATGTAGAGTGAGGTGTTTCTCCTCCTCTATTATTGTAGTGAAAATAGTTATTCCATGGATATAGACGATCAACGAACCACACAAATATAGTATGTTCTGTTTGTGGGCATCATCACAGTTCCTAACATGTTCAAGTGTCAAGGCTAACAGGTACTCCTGCGATGCCATTTGCTTTGTTGTTGAAATAATGTAATTCCATTCATTGCTTCATCGAAAATGGGGAGCAAAATGAAAGGTTTACATCGCATTTTCTACCCTCGGAGTTCATTTTGATCAAGTCGACCATTCTATCTCTGTTGTCATGTAACAAGTAAACCTAGTCGGAGAAGAAAGTGATCTCATGTGTCACCTGACTAGTAATACCCATTAAGACTATGATGTGTCCAAATGGAGATAGATGATATGGTAAGAGAAAATCTTAGAACTGATGCAACAAAGTTCTAGCTTTTTTTGATCCTCCTGTGAATTCAACTCTGCTAAAGAAACAGGTTCTCATTTCAATGTCCTTCACTTCTCTTTTTATATAGTAATATGTGGTAGCTTAGTCATTTCTTTGATAGAATTTACAATCTATCTTCCATTGCATAGAGCTGCATTCGGAGGCTTCTTGTTGTTTGCTTTGTCCCTGTTCTATCAACTCTTTCATATTTCCATTTTTTAATTGATAGATGCATGGTTGCATGTTGCAGGGCAGATGGTACTGTTTCCCTCTTCCAGGTAGCTGACTTCCCATTTTACAAAATGATTTATTTCTCCAACGCGGCACCCTCTTGCATGACATCCATGTGACGTCATATCCTCAGTCTCTGTGCCATGCAGGGTAAACCACGCCGTATCCATGAATTTAACTTGGCAGGAGTCTGCACTCTGCACATTTGTCTGCCCAAAACAAAATAAAATAGATATATCTGATCCATCAATCCTATTTCATCCAATCAAAAAATTTATTTAAAAAAATAAAGTAATAATAAAAAAAACTGAAATAACTCAATTAAATAAAAAAACAACTTAATTATCTTCTAAGTTTGATTGGATGGACTAATAACATCTTCTAAGTTTCATGACAACTTCAATACCGTATAATTTTTTTCCTAAAAAAAAAAACTCAAAGCTTTTAAAAGGAGAAAAATACGAGTATTAATTGAATTACAAGTTCATCGACACACTGTATCGATCCTTAAAAGTGATCAAAATTATTCAATCAAGTAATGCCAACAACCACTTGATGCAATGGCTATTTTATGCTGTCTGATCCTAGCTAGCTATGTTCTCAAATTCTACAATCGAGAACCCTAGCTACAGGTGATGATGAGATCAGTCGATGTTAGGAACTTAATTATCTTCCAGATTTTTAATGAAAATATACGTGTTATATGTCTCTGTGTGAGTGTGTGAGAGAGAGAGGGAGAGAGCCAAAGCTAGTAAAGGAGACCTTGAAGAAGAACAGAATTATTCAGACAGCTTGACTGATTATGATTAAGCTGATCACCTTAAACCTAAGTTAAGGATAGCCCTACAACAAGATTATGACTCATGATTGTCATCAATAGAAGAAATCCATCTTTGATATGATCTGGAAGTGATCTCTTATGCGCGATGCTTATTTGCTATGGTAGACAAACATTGAGGGTAATAATTAGTGGAAACCAGCAAAATATTTGCAAAGGAAATAAGTATTTAATTACACTTATAGTAACTAATTCAATCTTCATAATTAATTAATTAATCCTAGATAAAACCATCAATGCCATACCCACTCTGCAAAACCAGGGGAGTTGTATAAACAACATGAATGTTTCACTTCTCATTTCCCAGTTATGATGGAAGCTTTGGATCAACATATGACTCAATTAAACTTTAAATTATTCTTTTAATATTTTTAGATCATTTTGAGTTATCAATATTAAAATAAATTTGTAAACATAAATAATATTATTTTAATACATTTTTAAATAAAAAATACATCAATAAAATTACAAAATTAGTAGTTTCCTTTGATCAACAGGAGCCAGAATGAGGGCCCTGTCAAGCAATGGTCATCATAACGCCTCATAAATTTTCAGGATTGATGCTCTTTGTCACAACACCATTTTCCATCATTCAATGAGGCCCAACCTTTCTTTTTTGGTGCCAGCAAAATAATGCCCAGTGGCCTTAAAGCATATGAAATGAAAGAGACAATCATGAGGTCATTAGGCTATGGGACAAGATTCAATTCGGAACAAGGACTTTGTTTGTTTCGACGAAATTATTTTCCATCAAAGAGTTTTTACCAAGGAGAAGCTGAGGTTTGGTTTGTTGGTTATTTTAACTTAATTCAGCTGCCTCGTCAACAAATCAAAGTGTGAAAAAATATGAATAATGCAAAACGTTAAGAAAAGACAATAAAGAAATTAAATATATACATAATATATTTGATTAGTGAAACCTGCAACTATGTTTTATAATATTCCCTGAAGGTTTTTTCTTGATATTTAATATTTTTTTAGAAAGTAACTATCAACATAAAAGGAAGTTAAAACCGGGAAATAAAATCAACAAAAAATACATTGTCAAAAGGAGACTTGTGAAAGATTAGGTTTCGTTTATTTATATGATAGATGCGTCCAAGTAGATTTTATGACTCGAATTTAACACTCTCTCTCTCTCTCTCTCATGAATTATTATCATTTTCAGTATATTATAAACAAGTTTATTACTATTAATTTCTTTAAATTTTAAAATTTTTAAGTCTAGTATAAATTATTGTTATTAATATATTTTTATTTGATAATTGTATATGGAAACTTTCAAAATTAAAATATTTCATCAAATGACATTACCAACATTAACCAATGCTTTAACTTTAAAAACTAACCCACAATCAACCATTATAGGATCCATCATGAATAATAAAAGTAAATAACCTCAAATCCTTACGGCAAGAAAAAAAATGTTAAAGATGGAAAAAATACACAAATTTAGAATCACTTTACAAAACTTGATGGTGATTCTAAAACTTATAAAACTTAATGTAATTATTGTGAAAAACATTATGCATGTTATACTATTTTTAATGGCACAAGTAATATATGGAATCATTTAAAAGTATATAAAAAGTTTTTTTTGTGGTTTATAAAAAACAAAAAGTTTTGATATTAAAACCTAAGATAGAGGAGGGTGTATTAAAATATCAAAATGTAAGAACTTTAAAGGCAATAGATTATAATTATGATGAATGCAAATAAGCACTAGCAAAGATAGTTATAATTGATTAGTTGCCTTTTAATTTTATAGAGAATCAAGAATTTAGATTGTTTACTAGGACTATGCAACCTAAATTTAACATTCCTTCTTGTTTCATTGTTATGAGAAATTGTATGAAATTTTATATTGAAGAGAACGAAAAATTGAGAACAGCTCTTAAGGATTAACGATTATGCCTAATAAAAAATACACGATATCAATCCAAAATATTAATTATATATACCTAATAGCTCATTGGATTGATAATAAATGGAATTTGCATAAAAAAATTCTAAATTTTTGTTAAGTTTTCAATCATATAGGTGAGACAATTGGTCAAGTTGTACATTAAAGCGGGAGATGATAAAGTTTTGATTAGTACGTTAAAGCGGGAGATGATAAAGTTTTGATTATTATAGTAGATAATGCAAGCTATAATAATGTGACTATTTTATTATTAAAGAATGTAATGAAAGATTGGCAAACTAATATATTGTTAAATGAGCATTTGCATGTTAGATGTTGTGCATGCATTGTGAACCTCATTATACATGATGAATTAAAAAAGATTAATGTTTTCATTGTTAAATTTTGAAATACAATTAGATTTGTGAGATCTTCACCTTCTAGGCAACTTACATTTAAAAAGTATGCAGAAAAGTTACATATAGAATGTAAGAAATCATTATATTTAGATGTTGTAACTCGATGAACTTCAGCTTATCTTATATTAGAAGCTGCTGAAAATTTTGAAAAAGTATTTACAAGATTAGGTGAAAGTAGGCCTAGTTATATAAGTTACTTTTTAAAGGTTAATTCAAAGAAGAATAAAAAAACATAAAGATACCTAGTTTGGAGAATTAAGAAAACATCAGAACTCTAGTGAAGCTCTTAAAGATCTTTTACATGGCTATATTAAGATTTTCTAACTCATTGCAAGTCATATCAAATTCTTTCTACAATGAATTGATTTACATGCATGCAAACTTGTTGCAATTGTATAAAAGTAGAGATAGTCTTTTAAGTGAAATGATAATGAATATAATGTTAAAGTTTGAGAAATATTAGAGTAGTGAAGTAAATTGAAAATTTTTGTTGTAAGTGACTAATGTCTTAGATCTACATTTCAAGTAGAAATATATAAAATTTTGTTTTGATGACTTGTATGATTATGCAAAGCACAATTGCAAACAAATAAGGTGAAAGATATATTGGTGAGCTTGTATGGGTTTTATTTGAAAACTGATAAAGTGGTGAACAATAATAGGCATAAACAAAATATTAATGTTATTGATGATACGGACATAGATGCTTACACTTTGACTTAATTTAAAAGGAATTTATAGAAAGAGGATAGTGTGAAAAATAAAAATAAGATTGTGAGGTATTTGGTTGATGGTTGTGAGGATTTTAATGATGATAAGTTAAATATTTTAGGTTAGTGAAAGAGTAATATTTCAAAATATAAAATAACTTTAAAGGTTGCACAACATGTTTTAACTATTTCTATATTCATAGTGGCTTCTAAACCAGCCTTCAACATAAGCAATCTTATACTCGATCAATTTTGAAATTCTCTATCTCCAACAATAATAAGTATTCATTTGTTGTCAAAATTAGTTGCATCATGGATCAATTCCATTTGATATTAGAATCTTAATGAATGATTTTGAAACCTATGAAAACCTTGAGTCGGGTAATTTTTCTTATAAATTTATACCTTTTATTTTATTATTTAATTAACACGTTTTCAATCTAACATGTCTAATTTTTTATTTTTGTAAAATTTGATAGAAAGTTTCATCTAGCAACAAATGATAATTAATTTAAAAACTAGGGCATTTATTGAAAACATATGGTAAAAATACTATTTTTTTTTATTTGTATAGCTTCTAATTTAATTTGTCATGTTATAATTCTAGATTTTGATTTCTAGGTTTTGATATCAATAATATTAAGAAATCAAGTTGTAATGTTCTTGATATGTTTCTTGATTAGGATGATATGCACAATAAGAATTTATTTTTTTTGTGCATGAAGTGTTCTATAACAAGGTTATTTGTTGTTTCGTTTTAAGCTTTTTTTATAGCAATGCTTTGTAATTTAAATTTTTTACTTGGTTTGTGTTATTTAAACTCTTTTACAAAAGGAGTCTTGCTCACTCAAACAAAACAGAAAAAAATATTAGAATGACTTGCAGCATATTGAACATAAGATTGACACTAAAAATTTAGTGGCAAGACAATTTAATAAACACAAAATTAGCACTAACAATTTAATTTAAATAAATATTTAGTGGCAAAAAAAATTAATATATTATGGAATTTTGTAATAAAATTAAGCAATATTAACATCAATTATAAGCCTATCATAAAGTCCAAAACAAAATAATATAGATTTTTTTTGTTTTTAACATAAAATAGTTAAACCGAACCGAATCGAATCAAAATCAATTAGTTTGAATCCATTTTGATTCAGTTGTGGTTGAATTACTTTTATAAAATTTTAATTTAGTTATTTTTATAGGTAAAAATCAAACCAAACAAAAAAAAATCAATAACATCACATATTCTTTTAATAAAAATAGGCACTAGTTTAGCGAATCATGGAGCGGTTCTATTACACAACTGATTTGTGCAACGAACAGAAGTGAGAAAACAGGTAGGGTAAACAGACACACAACACAAGTGAAAGAGAGGAATGTCAATATTAAAAAAGCAAGTTTTATATGGGCTCTATGAGCATCATTGGCGAGGAGAAATTTAATGTAGCAGTTATTTTCCAATTATGATAGGAGCAAGACTTTGACCAAGGGGGAAAAGGGCACCATGATTAAAGAAAAACACTGGAAAAATAAAAAATAAAACCCATATATATTTGCTTGCATAGCAATCCATTCTTTGCCCTAATCATGTCGCATGTACTCATAGCCACATTGTTCATTTGAACGATTTTTTTTATCTTTGCTTCTTGTCATATAAGGTGATGCCAACCAATTATCATTTTGCTCGAAACCCAGCTCAATCCTTCAGTCTTTGAGAAGTGGTGGGTCTAAATTTATGATTTTTTCCCCTTCTTTTTCCTTTCTTTTGAAGAAAAGACTGTAAATCAATCAAATCAGAAATAAATGCTTGTAAGAAAAATAAAAACTAGAAGGGTCCCCGTGACGTATTGTGCTGTGAAATGTACTCGTGTGCTTCATCTACTGATTATGCATCTTGTGTATACCATCCTAGGGTTCATAAGCTTAGTTTGCATGTTCTTGCCAAACTACGCACATCGAAATAAATTTGGATGGGGGATCCATGATCTAGACGCCGTCCTTGCATTTGGAAGGCTGTTTTTTTTTTTGTCTGAGCTCAGATGTATATGCTTACAATTGTACCTAGTTAAACATGTATGGATCTTAATTTTAAGTATATGCTTACAATTGTACATAGTTAAACATGTATGGATCTTAATTTTAAGAGTTTATGGCTTTTTTGAAAACAGGACTATTTATCAAGGAAAGATTTTAATTAAGATGTGGGCCGTGAATTAATTGACATCCTTTCAAATAACTAGCCAATCCCTTATTTATTTAATTTCCTCCATCTTTTTATTATAAAAATAATTAAATTGAACCAGTCAAATTAATTAAAACACCATGGTTTTCATTAGATGGATTTCTGCACCACAACTAGGTCTTTATTAGTTCTTCTATACAAATAATTACGTATTATTTTAAAATACAACAGTATTTTTTATTGTGCAAAATTTTATTGTTCATTCACTTATAATTAACTGTGTGAAATTTTATGCTTTTTAATTTGATTCTTAATTTTTTTAGCAATTTAGTTCTAATTAAAAATAATTAATTTTTATTTCTTGTAAAAATATGAGATAAAAAAAGACTAAAATAGAAAAAAAAACCAAACATGGATGATATATTATAAATTTTGTAAAAAATATATTTTGATCTTTAAACTTTAAAAATCATTTAAATTATATAATTTCAGCACCTTAATACTTTTTTAATTCAATTTTGATATATAAATTTATTTTTATTATTTTTTATTCAAAATTAAAAGACAAGAGAGAAGTCGTTTTATTTTTAGATATTGTTGATGACTTTTTATTTATTTATGTATTTATTTATAAATATAACTCTTTATTTAATTTATTTATTTATTTATAAATATAACTCTTTATTTATTTGATTTTATATAAAAAAAAATTATTTTTATTTAGATTTTTTAAACTACAAAAATATATTAAAAAAACTTGAATGTATAATTTTTTCATAAAAAATAAAAATATCTAACAGATCATATAACTGGGGAGTTAAAACAAGGTAATCAATCAAATTAGAAAAAATTTATTTATTTATTTTTCATGGTGAGATTTACTAGATATCAATAAATTAAAAATACGACATCAAGAGGCATGGGCCACCTTTTATTTGATTTGAGTGAAAAAAAATATATCAAGTTCTTTTCAGTTAATATTTAAAAGTTGATAAAAAAAATTCATTTTTTTTTATAAAAAGTGATCACTATATGCATTCTGATATTCACCTCGCACATCTTTATATGCTACTAGCTCTACTGTCTTAATCATATAAAAATAATAATTTAATAGCATGCGTTTTATTATTGTAAAGAATTTGGTATATACTAGCTAAATAAATTTTAAATTCAATTTTCTCTAGAAATGCTTTCATTCTGACATACTAATTTGGTAATGGCTTGTACCTTTTTTATCAAATCATGTAGCCAAGAATTAATTATGTCATTGACTGAGTTTTATTCCTCTTCTTTTGACTTTATTGAGTTGATTACTGGCTTGAAGTTCCAAACGAGTATATATTAGAACTTTATGTATTTATTTATTTGTGTAGTTTTTTTGTATTAATATTTTTTTATAATCTTGAAATATTAATATAAAAAATAAAAAATAATTTATATCACATTACCAATACCAAACTCACAATCTTAAAATTTTTTTTTTTAGATAATTAGTCACTATTAAAGACAGCAATGAAAAAAAAAAAATTAGATAATTAGTCACTATTAAAGACAGCAATGAAACAACTAGGAGTTGATTACATGATTTTGATTTCATTGTTATTAATCTTTTTATTGATACCAAGCCAAGCATTCAATGTTATTTAAACTATTTTTCAAAAAAAAAATAACCATTAGATTTATACATATATTTGGAAGATAAATTTATTAAATGCATAAGTTCTATCTAAACTTGATTTCAAATAGAATAATCGATGAAATTGGCTAATTATGCGATCATTTTGAGGGAAGGCAAGTAGATAGCTTCGGGGCGATCCGTAACCTAATGTTGAAATTAAGGATATTCTCACATCCCAGTAGGCCCAAAGGGAAATAAAAGTCCAAGAAAATGATTATATGTAATGACTCAAGGATAGACAGCTAAAGACTGGAGGAGGAGACATTGGGAAAGCTTTCACTTTCAGGTTAGGAAATTGAACCTCTCTTTCTCTTTCCCTCTCAGATCTTTACCTTCTGCTGCCTGCACAGCTTTTCTCAGCGGAGATTGGGCTCTGAAATCGGTAAGCAAAAACAAGTTGCCAATAAAACCCTCTTGAGTCTTGGGTTTGAAAACCTCTACTATTTCTAGTATTTTAACCAGGCAGCAAATCCTATGCATTTTGACACTCACCACCCTACATTGACTTGCCTCTTCTTCAAACCCCTAGTAGGCTTCTAAACCAACAACCAAAAAGTTGATATGATATTAGGACCGGCCCCAAAAAAGAGCATCAGAAAAGGAGGGTAATCCCCATCTCCAGTCACCTCTCACAGCGATCTCCTGCTTAAAGTACTGCTTCATCGCCTCCAGCTTTTGAAGGAGAATCAAAAGACAGCTCTAGTTTATGTTCGATTTCCATGCCATGAATTGGGTTACAAGGAAGAAAGGGATGGGGGTTCTAAGAAGAGAGCTGGCTTGCTTATATCTTCTTCTTCTGTTGATAATGTCACCGTTAGAGACTCCATGTTATGCTGTTGGGTATGGGAAGTTTAGTAGATTCAAAGGTGGTTCTAGTTCTGAGCTGAAGAACAATCCTGCCAAGTCTAATAATATCGGTGGCCTGAAAGGAAACGCAGATAAATATGGTAATGAAATTCTTGGTGCTGAGAAGAGGAAAGTCTATACAGGACCAAATCCTCTACACAACAGATAAGTTGTTAATTATTACAGCTAGTCGTCACCAAGCTTGAATTCCGTTTCATTTATAAGATTTTTTGTTCGGTTTTCTTTTCTTCTGCTTTCCTTCCTTCTCTGAACATTTTGAAGCTTTTGCTGGAAATCTCCACAGTAAATGTTTCAAGTAGTCTTACAGATGTATATGAGAGTTTAGGGTATGAGATTTTGGTTGAGGACATGTACTTATATTTGTTAAAATTATAAAAGAAGAAATTAATACTCCTTGCAAATTTTACTCATGAAACATCAATGGAGTTGTTGGTGTTGTAAATTCTGACCTGCTTTCCAGATTTGCTGCGACTTGGCTTGTGGCCATTAGTGCTGTTTGTTGCTTCTGCTGAAAAAGGAAAGGAACCGTGTTGCGGTGGTCTAATCCTATATTTTACACTGTTTCAGATTACTAGGTATCTTAGATTTAGCACGTCTTAAAAGTGAAATTTGTGTGCGCTCTAGGCAGTAAACAATACAGGGTTTGCTCGTGCATGACCATGCACATGTATGCAAGTGTATGTATGTATCATGTATGCATGCACAAAAGACCTGTGCTCCAGGACTTGGCATGGGAAGGTGGATCCTAATGCACAGTACAAACATTAATGACTCATGACATGCCTGCACAAATGGCCATTTTTTTGAATTATTTCATCTTGGCTGGATCAAACGCAGAGGAAATGGCAGGACTGTGAGCCTTAAATTCCTTTGGAATTTTTATCAGGGATAGTTAATCATAGAGTACAAGTGGTAGGACAGAAACGTATACAACCATCCACTCACCTTCAATTTCTGTCTTGAGTAATTATGTAGCAGACCCCACCTAGTTTTTGTGTTGATTCACCCTATGCCAGCCTTATGTCCACTATGCAATGGAGATTTTACCCAAACATAAACCATCTTTCTTCCTGCGGGCTACAGCATTCTTGCTTCCCTGCATAGTGTTACAAAAATCTTCCCGTTTCTTGAATTTTTTTTCTAAGAAAATCCCCTTCCTGTTTAGCTTATGTCATGTGCAATGTTTTGTAATTTCCTCCAATTTTCAAGCCCTATTCAATCCAGTTGTTTATTCAATATGCGTACACATAATACACAAACTACAAAAACTGATTCATTGCAGATGAAAATTGTACATCTAGCAGGATCATTGCAGTAGGGCTATGAAAAAGATTTAGCGATAATCTCATTCACTAATCTTTTCATAGTGGAAAGATGAAGAATTTTACAATTACATCAAAGCTTGAGGCCTGATTCCCCGCAACAATATAGTAATACTAATCATAATGCAAAGTGATTTAGTTGGTGCAACTTTGCAAGATTCCCATTCACAGTTACAGCAAAAAGGGGGAGCAAAAAAGTAACAAAATTAAACAAACTAGGATAAAGTTGGCTTATAAGAGACCTAGAAGATGGAAAGTAATCACATTTTTCAAAAGGGGAAGTGCAAAAGGAAAGGAACATTGGCATGAACATGAGAAAGACTAGATGGGCATGTTTATCTTTACATCATCATACATAACCTTTTATTTTTCATGGGGGCAACCTTGTTTTTTTAAAAAAAAAATTCTTTTAAATATCAGTAGAGAAAATTTTAAAAATTAGACAATTTGGAAATAAAGTTGAAACTGTATTTTTTTAATTTTAATTTTTTATTTAAAATTAATTTTTTATATTTTTTGGATTGTTTTAATGAATTGATTTTAAACATAATAAAAAAATATTATTTTAATATACTTTCCCGTTGCTTGAATTTTTTTTCTAAGAAAATCTAACCCATTTCCCTTCCTGTTTAGCTTATTTCATGTGTAATGTTTTGTAATTTCCTCCAATTTTCAAGCCCTATTCAATCCAGTTGTTTATTCAATATGCGTACACATAATACACAAACTACTAAAACTGATTCATGGCAGATGAAAAGTGTAATTCTAGCAGGATCATTGCAGTAGGGCTATGAAAAAGATTTAGCGATAATCTCATTCACTAATCTTTTCATAGTGGAAAGATGAAGAATTTTACAATTACATCAAAGCTTGAGGCCTGATTCCCCGCAACAATATAGTAATACTAATCATAATGCAAAGTGATTTAGTTGGTGCAACTTTGCAAGATTCCCATTCACAGTTACAGCAAAAAGGGGGAGCAAAAAAGTAACAAAATTAAACAAACTAGGATAAAGTTGGCTTATAAGAGACCTAGAAGATGGAAAGTAATCACATTTTTCAAAAGGGGAAGTGCAAAAGGAAAGGAACATTGGCATGAACATGAGAAAGACTAGATGGGCATGTTTATCTTTACATCATCATACATAACCTTTTATTTTTCATGGGGGCAACCTTGTTTTTTTAAAAAAAAAATTCTTTTAAATATCAGTAGAGAAAATTTTAAAAATTAGACAATTTGGAAATAAAGTTGAAACTGTATTTTTTTAATTTTAATTTTTTATTTAAAATTAATTTTTTATATTTTTTGGATTGTTTTAATGAATTGATTTTAAACATAATAAAAAAATATTATTTTAATATACTTTAAAAAAAAATAACCCTCTTGTAAAAAATTTGTCCCTGCTGCCTTTTATTATCCTAGTTAATACAGACTGTAGAGCCATTGATAAATTGAGACCTGGATAATAAATGGCTTGTTCCTATGGTAGAGGTTATGGAGTAAAAGCTAGAAAAAGTGAAGTACTCATTGAAGCCCTCAGAGCCATGGTCTCAGCATTAATAAGGTCCAGAAGTGACCAAATAACAGTGTATTTCAAATTTAATCTCAAGCAAAAAGAACCATAATATCTCTGTACAGACTCCACAGACTTGTAACCATAACTCAGAACCCTAGAATTAGAATTGGACAGAACACTGCTCATCTGCAACGTCTGGGGAGAATAAATAAAAAAGAAGAAATTTTCTTCTTTTTTTTTTTTAAACTCAACAGTTATGTACTGTATCAAAATAAAAAAAAACTCAACAGTTATGTACTGTATCAAAATTTAAACATTCCTTTGGAGTTATTTCTTTACTTTTTTATTTGACAAAAATTCACCAATTGTTTCAAAAATTATTCAGGGTGCTTTACAAAGATAATTCTGTTCCTTTTTCCAGTTATCCATGGTCTTGCTTTCTTTTGAAGACAAGAATATATCAAAGTTAAATAGTTTGTCGTTAATGTGAAGTTGAAGAACACTAGCCGACTTCAAAATGTTATACAAAGAAGATTTGGCTGGTCCACCAGCTAGCTTGAAAGAGCTTGCTTGGCGATGTTCCTGTCTGCTGAGGTGAGGGTCTTGAGATAGCTTACTAGCTCTTTTCTTGTCAGCTAAGATAAGAGCCTTGAGTAGAAGGAGACGTGCTGAAAATAATACAAGCCAGGCATCAGAACTTCATTGTTTCGATGGTTTGCGCTGCACAGGGTTTTCTGTTCTCCCATGATTTGCATCATAAACGTGACTACTGATCTACACTTAAAAGTGTGCAGGGATTGAAGGTGAATGACATGCACATACCTGACCTAGTGTAGATGCGTGAATATTTACTTGTGCTTTCAAATATTAGATAATTGGCTTGCTTTGGTAACAAGAAATATATAAATTTAAGATATTGGATTAAAATGGTTTATATATTAAAGTTTTATTTAATAATTTAAATTATTTAGTTGAGATTATTCTTGATACAATATCATAGTTTTATTAAACTAAACGTTCATAAATTTAAATTTTATCATCATATTTTATAATTTTATATAAATTTTACACTTACTAACCACTTAAGTTAATTGATTCTAACTAATTTAAGGATTTGCGGCAATATCAGAGATTTGAGGAGTTAGGAAAATGAGCCGGGGTTTTTCAGAGACCAGTTTTCCAAAAACTAGTCGGTGGATTCCTGAATTTTATTCAGAATAACCGGTTACCCTGTTGTTTTCTAGCTTTTTCTTTTTCTAACTTTTGAGGTTCTTCTTTAGCTTTTGCTTTGTTATCTATTGTTTAAGGTATTTTGATATGTTAACAAAACTACGTATTTCCTGAGGTATTCCTTTGTATTTTGTACAGTTTTTTTTATACAATTTACCCTTACCGGAAACAAAAGGTTTTTTGGACCCTGATTTTCTAAGAAGGCTCACGCCTTTTACCTTAGCTTAATCAAAACCCAAATCTCAACTACATGTCATTCATGACGAATGTCCTAATCTAACATCGAATCAAGACTACCAGTTGTCATATAGTTTCCCAAAGAGTAATGATTTGTATATAGATTTTTTGAAAAACAAAATATCATGGATACTCGCATGAAAATAAATGACCAGAAATTTGAGTAGAGCTGAATTTCTCAAAGTTTTCTTATCGTAACTACACCTCTCCCGGTATAAATCACCCAAATCCCTCCAAAGACCTTATCTTCCGAACAAAGCACCTCTCCGCACTTCCATTCTCACCAAATGCCTTCTAGCTTCCTCACCCACCATGAGTTTTGGTTCACTTATTATCACCTAGCCTCCTCCCTCCACTCTATATATATCTCCATTCTATCACTTGAGTTACTTGTATGCTACGCCTACCTTCTTGCATATACAGAAGCTGTGTATATTGACACCTAGCATATGATAATTGGAGCTGTGTGCTTGATGCGCAATGGAACATTGTTACCAGGGGGGGGATTTTCTTTCTGAGACTTTGATCTTATACGTGTTGACATAACAAGTAGAGTTTTCTCGCTAGCCCTGCATTTTCATTTGAATTCATCCATGCCATGCACTGTATAAAATAAGGCATCTTTTACAGTAAACGAAAGATCATTGATATCCATAATTCCTCAGTGTATTGGTGTCACAGAGACTGAATGGTCCGATTTTGTTTTACGAAATTAATCTCATACAGGTCAAGTGATAGAAACAGTCGATGCTCTCTACAATTTATATCATTACGCTGAAAATTACAATCTGAGAGCAGCATTTATCAGTTTAATCCCAACAAATGCAATCTGCTGGCAGAGTTAAATGATGGCAGAAAGACTGTTACTATCACAGAAGAACAGAGCTTACAAGAGAACTTACAGGATGAAAGTTACTTCATCTGTCGTGGCAAAAAACTATTCAAGTGAAATCTTTGGATCAACTGCAAGAGATGGCGGTCTATGTAAAATGTTGTGCGTATGCATGTTGAGGGAGCAAGAGAGGTCACGTGCTAGTCATGAAAATGAATGAGAAGCTCCAGTAACTTAAAGTTAGGGGGCGTGATCTGTGATCTT